TTCACTTTTTCCCCACACTTTTTTTTTTAAAAATTAGTATTCTTTATATATGTCATTTAAGTTGCTGGAATGGTTATTTGTCAATGTTTAGTGGGATACTGCTGGACAAGAACGGTTTAGGACAATTACTAGCAGCTACTATCGCGGAGCTCATGGCATAATAGTGAGTGCCAGCCTGCAAAACAATCTTGTTCTGCATAATTTCAGAACATTTGGTACCTGTTTGGTGTGCATTCTTAATCAGCTGATAACTCTTTGAAATTGCTTTTATGATAGGTTGTATATGATGTGACTGACCTTGAGAGCTTCAACAATGTCAAACAATGGCTAAGTGAAATTGATCGATATGCCACAGAAAATGTCAACAAACTTCTTGTTGGGAACAAATGTGATCTTACTGCTAAAAGATCTGTCCAATATGAAACAGCTAAGGTGAGCCATAAGCAAATAAGTACTCCCTTGTTTTCCTTATCAGCATGGTTTAGCATAATAAGTACTCCCTCTGTCCCGAAATGTTCTTCTCACTTTCCTTTTTGGACATCCAGGAAATGTTCTTCCCAATTCCCTTTTTAGTAAATTTTTAAACCTAAAAGACATTTTTACCCTTCACTTTTTACTCCCACCCTATTAAAAGAAACTCTCACTTTTTAAAGTAGGGACTGTTGGACCAATCTTGACATTCAGTAATAGTTAGGGGGTTTATTTTGTAATTATGTTGAAGTCTTTATTTGTTAATAATTAGGGTAGAGTCAGTCATAATTTTAGGAGATATATCTCAGATGGATTTGAGATTATCATAGCTTGTAGGAGTAGGAGATGTTATGCTTGGAGAGCAAGGCTGATGATTTAACTTGGCGGACAAGGTTAACTCATCTATAAATAGGGATAGTTTCTCTGTATTTTATGCATTTAAAGTTTTTCAATTAATTGGAGAAGGATTTCCAATAAGTTCTTGTTCTAGATTTCTGTTTTCTGTTTATCGAGATCTGGTACCAATAACTTCAATTGGTATCGGAGCTGAGTTCGAAGGGCCTGAAAACCTTGTCTTCACTTAGATGAATTACATCCTTATTTCTTTGATTAGCCAAAGCCATTAACAGAGCAGGCCCATCAAAATTAGCCCGTGGTACTTCGATTGGCCTTGCTTGTGTCAGATTTGCCTTTTCATCTTTTTTCCGTGTTGGACAGTCAGCCGAAAAGTGTCCAAAAGCATCACACCTAAAACACTGCAGTTTGGAGCGATCTTTGGTTGAATTTTCAGCTTGTTGTCTCCCATCTGGAGAATTCTGTCTGCGACCCGGACCTCCTCCTCGACTACCAAAACGCCCACGACCTCGACCTCGACCTCTTCCACGGGTGTCTCGGCCATTCCCTCGACCTCGACCGAAACCTTTTTCTTTCTTCTTTCTTGAGTCCCATTCTTCATAGGACAGCAGAAGTTGATCTTGGCTGTTATTGGCTGTCTTTGCACCGGTTCGTTCTTCATATGCCTTCAGCCTACCCACAACCTCTTGGAATTTCACTGTTTTGAGATCAACCAGTTGTTCAATAGTGGCTGCCATATTTAAGAATTTTTCTGGTATGGCAGTCAATATTTTTCTGACCAATGTGGTTTCCTCGATGACGGTTCCAAGTGTTGCTGATTTTGAGGCAATTCCAGAAAGTTTTGCAGCAAAATCATCAATTTTTTCGCTGTCTTTCATCCTTGCTGCTTCAAACTCAGCTTTAAGAGTCTGAAGTCTAGCCTCCATTACTCGTTCAACTCCAAGATGACGAGTCTTAATTGCATCCCAGATTTCCTTTGCGTGGGTGCAATCTGCGATTTGAAGAATCAAATCCTCTGGCAA